GCTCTGACGCTCGCAGGAGGACACCGCCCGCTGCCCCGCGGACCAGCCCGCCGCGCCCTACTTCCGGGGCGGCGCCCTGGCAACCGAGGACGCAACCGCCGGCGCCGCAACTGCTTCCGGGGTCAGGCTTTCCTAGGGCGTCTCTCTGCCCCAGCCTGGGAGCATCTTGGCTGCGGGCTGAGAGCCTGCGGGGGGTCAGGCGTGTAGCCCCGGGAGCCTCGCAATCTTCAGGGCCCGGGCTCCCGGCTGAGCCCGACAGGGGAGGAGCCGCGTGAGGATTGTGGCACCCAGTCCAGCCCTCTCTTTATCCCCTCCGCTGCTCAGCCTCGGTGTCTGTGAAACTGGCCCCGCAGGAGCACCTACCTGCTGGACTTTGTTAGAAGGATGATATGACATGTTGCACTTTGCAGATAGCAATCAATAAATGGCCTACTCGGACCTGGCCCGGTGGCTCAGTTGGTTAGACCGTCCTACCCGCCAAGGTTGCAGGTTCGATCTCAGGTCAGAGCACATGCAAGAAGCAACCAATGAATGCATAAATAAGTGGACCGATAAATTGATGTTTCTCTCCCGTCCTCTCTCTCTAATCAATAAATTAAAAGATATATAGCCCGGCCGGGCGTGGCTCAGTGGTTGAGTGTGGACCTGGGATCCAGGCAATGGGGGTTTGATTCCCGGTCAGGGCACGTGCCCGGGTTGCGGGCTCCATCAATGACTCTCTCATCATTGATGTTTCTATCTCTCTCTCTCTCTCCCTCTCCTTTCTCTGAAATCAATAAAGATATATTTAAAAATAAGATAAAATTAAAATAAAAGATATATAAATAAATGGCCTACTCAAAGGCCAGTTCATTTGGGAAGTGTTCCCTTGAGTGTGGTACAGGTCTAGTTCTTCATGTTATATATATTTTTTATTTTATTATTATTATTTTTTAAATATATCTTTATTGATTTCAGAGAGAGGAAAGGAGAGAGAGAGACAGAAACATCAATAATGAGAGAGTCATTGATCGAGCCCACAACCCGAGCATGTACCCTGACCGGGAATCGAACCCTGATCGCCTGGATCCTAGGTCGACGCTCAACCGCTGAGCCACGCCTAGCCGGGCTTCATGTTATATTTTTAAAAACTCCTTCTGTTAGGAAGAAGCAGCCTGTTCTAGTGAGAAACAAAACTGAAGCCAGACCTGGACTGAACCCTCACTGCAACATTTAAGCTGTGTCTTAGTCTGTTCAGGCTGCTACAACAGCAAACACCAGAGATGGGGTACCTTCTAAACACCACAAATCAATTTTTCACCATTCCAGCACCAGCAGATTGGTGTCTGTTGAGGGTCTGCTTCCTGGTCATAAATGGTTTTCTTGCTGTGTCCCCCACCCCGCCCCGAGGCAGAAGGGGTGAGGGAACTCCCTGGGCTCTCTTTTATTAAGGCGCTAATGCCATTTATGAGGGTTCCACCTTCATGACCTACTCACCTTCCAAAAGCCCCCTCCTGATACCATCACACTGGGAATTAGAATTTCAACACATGAATTTGAGGGGGAATAAACATACCATCTATTGTACTGTGAAAGTAGTTCATGAAACAGAGAGCTTAGACCATCGAACCAAAGCATTGAAGACCAACAACATTCAAGAAAGGCACAAAAATCAGCAAAGGAGAACTGAACATCAAGGGAACTTCTAGATCAGAAGTCAGCAAACCACTGGCCACATCCAGCCCTCCACCTGTTTTTTACAGCTCAAAGCTAAAAATGGTCTATACCCATGATCATTTGCAATCAATTGATGATAGGGAAAACACTAACTTCTAACC